TCATTGTTCAACTTGCAACAAATCGCCAAGTGCACTAAACACACGTTCACTCTAGCGCATGTAGCTTGATGCCTAATTGATGTGGTGTGATGCGGCTAGTGTTAGACTAAAGGTCAAGGTCACCGCTACACAGCGCTCCTGTAGTGAGCACGCTGTGCCGGATTGTTGGCGCACTATTTAAAAAGTTCGGTTTCTTTTTGGACAGACCTCATATAAGCCCAATGTAAATGAAAAAACACAAAAAACAATAGCTTCATTTCAATATAATAAATGTAAATAAATGTCTGAAGTTCCCCTGAATACATAAAAATGCATTTTTTTTCCTGGTGAAGCAAGCTCCCATCTCCCTCAGGGGGCACTACTGCTGTTGCAGTGTCTCCACAAAAAATCTCCCAATTTGGAACTTACCAGTGTTGATAGGAATGTTTGTGCAGTTGGTCTGTTCTCTATTATGACCTTCATTGTCCAGTGTTAGTACAGGAGCAAACAGGAGTATCCAAAGAAAATCTGCCATGTTTGGTTGGGGTCACACTGAACAAAACCCTTCTCACATCTGACCTGCATTGAGGATTGAACCCAGAGTGCAATGCAGTAATGAGTAAAAAATGTGTTACCATTGTACCACCAACACCTTCTAAGAATTAACTATTGGATGTGGTGTGAATTATTTGTGCAACTTTATTATTAATTGTCAGTTTTCTTGTAAATAGAAAAGTGTTGTACAGTACTGTTTAGTGATGTGAGAATCTATTTTGTTTACACTTTTCAAGTACAGTATATGAATACTGTATGATTATTATTTCAGAAATTCAGAGGGTCTGGGATGCCTTGCTCTATATTCATCAGGGTCTCATGTACAGTACAGCATCTCACAACAGTATCTGTTCACACTGTGTGAAACATTATGAAATCTTGGATAATAGATATTGAGACATGAATTTACTTTGGTATAGAGTTTAACATAAGTAATGCAATCTGTATTTATTTCAGCATAATTAATATGATGTTAGATTGCCAAATGTAGTAGGATCTGTATGCCACAGAGCCATGCATACCAATCCTCCCGGGACATCAAAAGTTGCATGTAGTATTTCGGAAGTCATCGGACCCATCCTGGTAGATACTTTTTTGAAATACTGTACCTCATCTGGCTTCTGCTGTGATCAGTCTGAGTTCAAGAGGATTTACTATACAGTTAACCCTCACTTTACGCGGTTAATGTAACCCGGAGGGTCCCGCGTAAAGTGAGAAACGCGTAAAGTGAATAGCATAACATATGGGATTAATTGAAATGGAGTCCGGGCCGATCCCCAAACTCCACTTTTTGACGACACACAACTATGTTGTAGTAAAAATTTTATCTTAACTTTATGATGGTATGAAAAAACAAGTAATATAGAAGAGGTTAGGTTAGGAAAGATAAAGGTTAACATAGGAAAAATAAAGGTTAGGTTAGAAAACTAAAAATTAGGTGTAACACTTACGGTAGTAGAAGAGATGGGTCGGCATACGGGGATGGAGGCTGGTTCCGAGGCAGAGGGCAGATTACTGGCCCTGGCCCTCAGGTGAATCACCATTACTAGGTGAATCACCATCACTGTCACTTACAGTTGTCAGGGCTTCCCTGACAAATCCCTCAAAGTCATCTTCACTGCCACTATCACTGGCTTGGGCTGGCTGTGGTGGGTTGCGGGCGAAGAAATCTGTTATGCTTTGCTGACGGCTGGCGTTGATGTTGTCGTGATACACCTTGATGTACGGCTCCATAGCCTGCACCAGCCGGGTATGGAAGACTTCATAGCGGTCATCGTCATTGTCGCGGGAAAGGAAGGACTTCATCTTCTCTGCACACTCCATGGCACCCTTAATATCACTATGACTTAAATTGTGTTCTTCGGAGACTGACGCACCTTCTTCCTCCTCTTCACTGACGTGTTCTTCTTCCAACATCTCGTCGGCAGTCACTTCAGGATCTCTGATCACCTCCAGGATGTCGTCGTTGGTGGTCTCGGAGAAGCCTGGAACTGTAACAGTCTGCGCAGCTTCTCTGGCAAGGTCCACTGCTACTGCAACATTCTGAACCTCACCAGTCACAGATTGACTCCTCCTCTCACCTGGTATTCCATGCAACACATGTCTCCATGCGTGACGAATTGTAGCAATAGACAGCTGATCCCATGACTCCACCAAGAAGTCCACAGCTTTCTTGATGTTAAATACTCTCCAGAATTGTTTGAAGAGTATTTTTTGCTGTGCCAACTGTTGATCCTCATCTTCTTCGCTCTTGCTATCGGTGGTGGTGTCACTCAGGTTACGCAACTCTTCCCTGGTGTTGGTGTAGTCGTTCAGGAGCTGGAATTTTTTTGTTGAGAATGCAGCTTTCACATTGCAAATCAACTCCTGGTCCATGGGCTGGATTAAAGACGTAGTGTTGGGAGGAAGGAAGACCACTTTTACGTTGGGGTGACGATCTAACAGTAGGGGCGAGTGTCCTGGTGCGTTGTCCAGCAGCAACAAAATATTAAATGGCACATTCTGTCGCTCACAGAATTTTTTTACATCGGGAACAAAACAGTCATCAAACCAGGAGAGGGACAGTGTAGAGAACATCCACGCCTTACGTGCGGTCAGCCAGTGGACGTTTAGCTTGGTCATGTCCATTGTTTTGTAGGCGTGCGGCTTGCGTGCTGTGTGGATCACCGATAACTTGAGCTTACAGGTACCGGAGGCATTGGTGGTAAACAGGACGGTGATGCGTTCCTTCTGCATTTTCCGGCCCCGAATCCTGCTGGCATTCTTCACAACGAAGGACTTGGAAGGTAGCTTTTTCCAGAAAAGACCAGATTCGTCCATGTTAAACACCTGGTCGTCACTGTACTGTCCTTCCTCCATAATCTCACGTAAAAACGGAGGAAATTCCCGAGCCGCAGCACGATCAGCACTCGCTTCTTCACCACCAATGTTTATATTGGTGATCTTGTTCCGGATCTTAAACCTCTGTAACCACCCAGAGGAAGCATTAAAGGGTTTGGGCTCTGAAGTTCCCATCTTTCGTGCCACTGCCATGTACAGTTCACGTGCGTAGTCCTTAACAGAGCGCGTGTCGACCGCCATGTTCCGTCGCGCCTGACGCACCAAGTACCTCACAAGTAATTTTTCTGTCTTGAGAAGCACCTGGTTGTGAAAATACTTGATCATAGAAGCACCTGTAGACTTTGTGATCTTCATGTGCTCCTTTATCTTGGCTGAATCCTTCTTTATAGTCCGGATCGTAGATTCGTTCACGCCATGCTGGCGCGCCAAATCAACCTGCCTTGTTCCTTTCTCCAACTCTTGGATGATGGTATACTTCACCTCGTAGCTTAAGGAACGTCGTGTCTTCTTTGGTTTAGTGCCGCTGGGTCCAGGTAAGGAAAGGTTTCTCTCTGGGGGTGGTGGTCCGGCGGAAGCCATTTTACGGAACAATGGATGCGCGTTTACACGGAGTGGCCTTGAGGGATGAAACTGCCGCGGCTAGGTCAAGCGTCGTCTTTCCTCCCTCCCTCCCTCCCCCGGGTGGACACGTCATAATACTTTAAGCCAATTACAGCTAGCAGCAGAGGGGGGTAGGGATGCATGGCCAATCACAGGTCTGATACGTCATATGACGTCAGTGATAACGCAACAAAGACACACACTGCGCAACCTTACCGTGCCGCTTGCCCAAGCGGAGGGAGGAGGGAGAGGCAGGCAGACAGGCAGGCGGGCGGGTGGCGGGTGGGGCGAATCTAAAAATAGCGTCGCGCCGGACACTCTCCGCGTAATGGGGTTCACGTACCGCGTAATGTGAGCACGTGAGGTTCTGGCAAGGCACCGCGTAAACGTGGAAACGCGGAATGCGGGACCGCGTTAAGTGAGGGTTAACTGTATATAATTCTGTATGAGAAAAGAAAACACCAATACAGGTGTCACTTGGGTTACAGAAGAGTTCCATTCCTGAAAATCTTTCTGCATCGTGAAACCGTTTTTCCCAATGACTCCCATTATATAAGTTGAGATGCATTCCTATGGAAAATTATTGCAACTGAAAACATAACACAAGCACATATCTGAATGAAATTAGACAGGTTTAAACACATACAATGATTCATTAATGATGTAACATGACAATAAATGCACACACTTAAATTGAACTCACCAGAAATGATGTTGAGTGCTGCAGGAGGTGGTTAGGTAAGGTGGTGCAATTGGAGTTACTGGGAGTTACCTCCTTAAAATATCATGTTTAATGTCAAATGTAATTCTTATATGGAATCTTTTATCAGCACTGCTTTCATTTGAACATGATGCCTTTTCCACTCACCTTGAATAAGGGTACACAGTAACACAGATGCAAAACTGAACTTAACTGGGTAAAGATTTCAAACCGAGCAGTACCACTGTTGTGGTGGCTGCTGGCAGCTGGGGAGGCAAGCTGCCCTCCAACTGTTTTGTAGCTACCACCAAGAATCCACATGAAATCTTGGTGAATTTCTCTGTTATATACTGTATGGTGATTCTCGTGTTTAAAAATTTTAAAATTTACCAAAATTCCGTAAAAGCGAGGTTTTTGTCCATATCACGAATTTTTGTATCATAATTTCAAAATTCCATAAAGGGGTTATTTCCCTAATCCAGGATTCCATATCGCGGGGGATGCCTGTACAGTATTAAAAAGATTAATAAGCCTGTAACATAGTAAAATACTCAAGAAAAACTGATTAAAAGTTCTAGAATGACGTCATCGTGGATTTACATAAATGTCCTCATTATGACAAGGGTGAGAAGTGCCATTTCTTATAATATTTGTGTAATGATCTTACAATCTGTGAGCAACAACTCTGCCAAGTTTTAGGGATTTTTTTTGGAAAAATGATAGAGGTGAATCCCAAAGTAGAACTAAATATGTGGCAAATGGAAAGCTGGATGGAGAGGAACGATACTGTACAGCTTCCTCAACATAAACTCTGGTTATAGCTTACTTGGCAATGTTAGACAGCTGAGCCTCAAGTTTTGCCTGTGTAACAGCTTCCTCCTTCTCTTGCAAAAGCTTCTGCCGCACATCAAGTGTTTCTTGGTGCGTTCTCTCTCTCAGCTCCTCTAAGAGTACTCGCGCTCCTGACACACTTCGTTCCAAACCCACCAATACCTATTATCAAAAGTAATTATGTCCTATATGTACAGTATACTGTACTGTATATGACTCACAATATATGGGGTCATTAAAAAAGAATACTGTACTCAGATTTTAATATAATAACCATTTAAAAATTGGGCAATTTTTAACAACCCTGTAAAATTTGGGAATAAGAACGTGTGCATGAAAGAAAAGAGAGCAAAGTGTCAAATGATCATAAGCAAGAACTTGCTACGGGTGTGAGGTGATTGCTTGTGGGAAACTACTGTACAAGAGTAAACCTGATTTGGGGCCTAGTTGTAGGGGATAGTATCATTGTAGATAACATCTTTTCAGCAACAACAATGTGTGTGTGTGTGTGTGTGTGTGTGTGTGTGTGTGTGTGTGTGTGTGTGTGTGTGTTCACACATAGGGTGGTGAAATGCATCTAGTGTGGCAGCATTATGTTAGTGTTAAGGTGCAAGCACTGTTTGCTCCCTCTCAATTTCAGCTGCAGCTGCTGGCTAGCCCTCGTGGCAAACAGGGAAGCAACTTGCAGAAGTCTTCCCCTGCCAGTACACAGCCTCCTCATCATTAAGACTCCTGCCGTGCCTTCTCGTGGAAACACATGATAACTGGGTGCCTCGTGGGTCCAGACTAGACCAGCAGGGTATCTCAGAGAAGCAGTAGGCCCAAGAGGGACGGCGCATAGGCCCACTGGCATGTGGAAACGTTCTGGCGCCTACCAACCATTGCCCCACTGCCTTGCAGATTAACCTTGGTAGGTTTAAGGCTATGGGAGTAAACCCCAAACGAAAATTCTGCTGTGAAGCCCCACATCAGGCAGACATGCTTACAGAGCTCCAACAAGGCCCCAAAGGCAGTATAGGAGGAAGAGGAATCTTATACGACGACTTAATGGGAGAAGGAGAAGCCACATGCCGACTCTTGCTCAAGTGGTTTATTATGGTGGTCGTACAACATGCCTAACACATTCTTGATTACACAGGCCTAAACACATTCTAGTTTTAGTAAGAAGTAACATAATATATAATGAATATATAATTAATAAAGGCAGCATATAAACATACATATATCTGTATATATATATATATATATATATATATATATATATATATATATATATATATATATATATATATATATATATATATATATATATATATATATATATATATATATATATATATATATATATATATATATATATATATATATATATATATAACACATTGCAACTTTCCCTCTCCCCAGTCATTGCAACACTTGCACCACTGGATCAGTAAAAGGGAGAGCCAAGATGTGTGGTTGCAGCCTGTGCTCCTGCCTCACCACATAAATCAACTCACGCACAGCTACCATCCAGCTCATTATACTTCTCATCATCATCAAAACCCCTACACCCCAAAAATCCTATGGCGATGGACGAGTGGTGAGGAAGACAGGCAGTGATGACTGCCGGGAGTCTCTAGTCACAATTCTGCACATGGGCGACACAGATAAGGTGGTCGTTTATGTACTGGGATCTAGGCAGCAGTGCAATCTGGTCCTGTCTGTGTGACTGAGTAGGCCTTTCAAGGAGCCACTCTGCTCACCCCACACTGGGAGGGGGCTAAAAAAGGTGCCCTAAACATAACTTGCCTAAAAAAAACGACCTGACTGGACAACCGCATCCATTAAGGTCATCCTTATGCGGTCGAAAACACAACCAAAATCACAGATCCAAACAAAAACAAACCACACAACCTCTTATGGTCGCTAAATGGAATGTCAGGACCCTTCTGTATACTGGCACAAATAAGCGTCCTGAAAGAAGAACCGCCCTTGTGGCAAAAGAGCTGTCTAGGTATAACATCGACATAGCAACCATTGGTGAGTCCCGGCTCCCAGAAGAGGGTTAACTAACAAAATGGGGGTCTGGCTACACCTTCTTCTGGAAGGGTAAGCCTGCTACGGAGAGAAACCGCATTCACGGAGTTGGCTTTGCTATCTGCCAACACATCCTACATAGGCTAACTGAAATGCCTCATGATGCTCCGAGTCCCACTGAATCACTCACGTCATGCCTTTTTCATCAGTGCACACACCCCAACACTGGATATAGAGGATGACAACAAGGAGGCCTTTTATGCAGACCTTGACAGAGTGCTAACCTCTATCCCCAGAGAAGACAAGGTTGTGCTCCTTGTGACTTCAATGCCAGAGTTGGCAGAGATGCTGACATTTGGCAGGAAACCATAGGGAGAAATGGAATAGGCAAGTGCAATCCCAATGGCCTATTCCTCCTCAGCAAGTATGCTGCACACTACCTCACTATCACCAATACCTTGTTTCAGCAGGCCGACAAGTTCAAGGGTATGTGGCAACACCCACGACCCAAACACTGGCATCTCATTGACTACATCATTGTCAGAGAAAGAGATCGCAGAGATGTCCTCATCACCCGTGCCATGCATGGCTCAGACCTCTGTGACACTGATCATTGACTTGTCAGAGCCAAGCTCTCACTTCACGTCGCCCCAAAACGGCAAAGGCAGCAAACCCCCAGAAGAGGTTTTAATACTAAGCGTCTGGGGACCCAGCAGTAGCACAGGCTTTCAGAGAGCAGCTCGAACATGGGCTTATAATGAACCCAACAGAAAACAATATGTATCCCAGTGCTGAATGGGATACTCATAATACTGTTACGACAAAAACCTGCAGAAAGACCCTCAGCCAGATCAAAAGAATACACCAGGACTGGTTTGTTGAAATTGCTCCAGCAATCAAAGTACTCATCGATGATAAATGTACTGCTTTTACGGACTGACAGAATTTACACCAACTATATATTACATACCAAAAGATTATAATGCAAAATTAAACCAAATTAGAGTCAAGTCTTTTCTTTATACTGAATCTTGAGAAAAATTGGTATAAGATCATGTGCTTATTCCTAACCAATTCCATTAATTTGGTAATTTACTGTATTATAGCTGTATCATAATAATACATATAAGCCAGAATCCCTGTTAGCCAGAACACTCCATTACTGACTTGATTTATAAGAATATAACTTACATTGCTGGAATGCTTGCAAGATAGTGATTAATTTGAGTATAAACATTCCATAGTTTGCACCAGACAGAAAATTTTTAATAATTAACTTATTTAGATATGAGTACAAGGTGTACATTAAAGTACAGTCATGTTTTGCCCTAAATTATGGCCTTTTAATGGGAAAAAACAAGAGTTTTTTGCTCATCAGACTGTCCAATACAGTACTACTACTTCTTTACACTCCCATGTGCGAAAATGGTCACAAATGGTTACCTATAATTAAGCAAGTTACTCAAGATTTATCACTGTAAATATCTAAAAACATTGTAAACTGTAACTATTATTGTAGCATATTGTACAGAAAGGCTACACAGTGGTTGGAGGGTCCCACTGCCCAATGAATTTCTCAGCTCTCTCAACCCATCTTTGTAATTATTTTACACCCAAAACAACTGCGAGGGTTCGTGCAGTTGTTTCGGTTGTGGTGGTTGTGATAATTTATGAGTTTGCTCTGCAGTTGCGGTTGCAGTTGTGAAGCTTCATGACATCACTATAATAATTCCACACTAACCTGGCCAGTAAGCTATGCCCCTAATCTATACTAATAGCTGATTGGTTCATACAAAATGTTCGTGTAGCTGTCCATTTATTCAAACGAAATGTGTTCACAATTGGTAAGCAGCCTTTTATTAACTAAATTAATGTTAAATATCTGGACTACCAAATTGCAAATGATTTCAAGGCATTAGCACTTCAGAGAGGATGTTAGAAAATGTTAAATATTTATCATAAAAGATTGATATAAATATGCGCAGTCTGGAGGGAGGTAAATGCTCAAGGAAACGATCAGCTATTTGTAGCTATAGATGAGGGGCATGGCTTAAGAGCCAGGTTAACGAGGAAATACTATAGTGTATAATGCGTTTCTATATGCCCTGGTTTATTCACTGAATAAGTTATCTAAGTGTAAAAGTAGCCAAATTGACCCATCATGTATCAATTAATTTTAAAATAGAAATTATAAAGTAAAATACGACAATGGTTTAGTAGTGCTGCTAATGTGTGTGCTGTGTAAGCGTCTTGGCATGTCACCTCACCTGGTGTCTTATCACCTTGCCACTTGACTTGTCACCTCACCACCTGACTCTTCACCTCATCCATTGCCTCATTAGCTCAGCTCGGAATTACAATGATTTATTACTGTGTTACTGTACATTTTAGTATTGTATGTACATTTAAAGAAATAATTATGTTTGCACAGTAATTATAAATAGAACCAGAGCAGAAAAATCCAGCATTACCCAAGCAGTTGGTCTTCCCATCCACACACCAACCATGTGAGAACAAGGCTAAACATGGTGCAATCTTTCATAATGCAGGGAACCTTTGTCCCCAGGCCCACAGCAGAACGATTTGGAGTTATTTTCTCGCCATTTTCTAAGATTTTTCAGTATTTGCGCATTATTTCATAGTCGACATTTGCTCCCAGACCCGGAAATAAAAATTTGGACAGATTTTCCAGATTTTTTATTTTTTCTTCTAATTTTCATAAAATGCTCCTGAATTTCAACATCGGAATTTGTTCTCAAACCCGGAATTGAAAAAAAAAAAAAATTGTGTCTATTGGAGAGTTTTGGTTAAGGGCGATTTTGGCTAGCAAATATATTACAGTGGTCCCTCGGTTAACGAACGGTTCGATTATCGAAATTTTGGTTCACGAATTACCTCCCATAAGGATCTTCAATACAGTTAACGAACAAAACTTTGATTAACAAAATCCTTACGACAAACACGTTTTGTTGTGAGCATCAGCTGATGGGCTAGTCTGCCAATTCAGTAATCTGTTCTATGTTTACATTTGTTTCCAGTGGAGTAAATATCAAGAAAGTTGCGCTCTTTAATATTTTCGCATTTTCTTATTTAAAAATTATTAGTAATTTTAAAATTTAGTTAATATACTGATAATATATGCAGTATAGGGAACTAGTTTTTTGTGCGCCCATCAGCCGCTTGACTCTCCCACCAGGCGTCAGTTTGGCTTTGTTTACAGTGGAGTGAACATCGATTTTGTTGGTGTCTTGAATATGTTTGCATTTTTACATTAAAATTATTGGTTATTCTGAAATTTAGTTAACATATTGATAATATATATAGTGCAGTGCAGTGTTGATTTAAAGAAAATAATCTTGAATTACACCTAGTGAACTTAAAATTTTATTGGTGAAATTACTACATCAAGCATGGGTCACCTGAAAGGTGATTTCTCCTCCATCCCCACTTCCTTCTCTTCTCCCTTCTCCTCCACCCCCACTTCTAATTCTCATCATCATCATCAACCAGGAGCCTTCTACATAGACACCTCAAAGTAAGTGTACTTTACTGCATTTTTTTTTTTACATTGTATGTACTTTTGTGTGAGCTGGAACCAATTACCCAATATCCCATTGAAACAATGGATTCGGTTAACAAAACTTTCGATTAACGAACGACTCTGTGGAATGAATTGTGTTTGTTAACCGAAGGACCACTGTACTGGAGTAGATTTATTTTTATATAATATGCACGTCATTGCAATGTAAGCAAACAACAGTACTTAATATTCAATTAAGGAAAACAAATAAAAAATCACAATTGAACATTGATTCAGACTAAAAATGAAGATAATGTACCTCATTCATGCGTTCCCAGGCTTTGTCTAATGGTAAGCTGGAAAGGTTGACTGAGAGGGGCTGCTGGCAGAGTTGATGGAGGAGGTAGTCTGTGAAGGGGTGGTTAAACCTCCAGCTGAGGATGCAGTGCCACTCCCCAGGACTATACCTGGCACCACTGTTAACTCACCCAGATTCGACACTAAATCTAACTGGTGATAAATGTAATTGTCATTTGACTTATGCAAATGTAATTGATCTGTTTTGAAGATAAATAATAATTGTAATATAAATCACAATGGGAAATACTGTACTGTATATAGTACAACTAAGGCAGTCAGCCGGGCATAACCTTGGGGCAACAGCAGGGGTTTAGTCCACCAGTTTCTGCCCAAGGAGGTCATAAAGTACATTGTGCAACATGACAAATAAATTTTAACTCATGGAAATTGCAGTCCCTTGGATCAATAATTGTCCACTGTTCTCATTGGTTGCATGTTACTGTCCACCTCTACAGTGATTCACTATTTAAAAAATTTCACTTTGTGTGGTAGAACATTGTATCCTTGGAGGCAAATCCAAAGAGAATCTATATGATCAAAACAAGATGTATCACAGTCTGGACTCTAGTTTGTGTGTGGACTTCCAAATACCTGCACTGTACTGACAGGGGCTTCAACAGATGGTCCTCGCACAATCCTATAGGTACTGGTGACATGAAAGTGAGTATTCCATACCTCTTCAGTGTTGCAATTAAACTAATGGTGCCTCTCATAACTTTTTTTTATTTTCTTTGCCACTGACTGGCCTGTTAGCCACTTAGGTGGTCGGTCATGTATCTGTTATGCGCTTTGGCAAGTACTGGGCATGTACTGTTTCCAGAATGTATTTGTACATGCACCAGGTTTGGTCAACTCTGATCTTGAATAAGTTCACACTCAGTGCCATCACAATGCCCAGTAAAGTTAGAGAGATGTTGTCCACGAACCTGTGATATGTTACCTGAGGTACTTTAACATAAAAGGAAATAACCGGTACCCAGTAAAAGTACACCAGGGTCTGAACTTCATCTGAAAAATAGAATAATATCCAAAAACCTGTATCTCCCAGATTTTTATTTATTTATTTTTTTTTTTTATGGGGAATAGCCCATGATGGGCTGTCAGTACATACAGTACTTTTAACACTACCATATATAATTTCCTTCTTCTAATAACACGTCAATCTCAGTACTTATAAGGATCGATGTATTAAAAACAAGAAAAACACTGTTACAAAGTATAATTTTAATCTATCCTATGGTTCTCTGGCATTCAACTCGACTGTTTTTTTGTTTTAATAAGAAAATTGTATAATTAATAGCTTTGAAAAACAATGGTATGAAAATTGCTATAAAATTAGTTAGAAGGATAAAAGTTGACAGAAAATAGAAAAGGGAAAACTAGCAATTACTGGTCAAATATGAGTAACTTGTGGAAACATACTGAACTTGTACTTAAATATACTGTACTATACTAAAAGAATTTATGAGATAAAAAGAATTTTTTGTAAACCCGCACTGTTCATCACTATTGTAAACCTGCATTGTAAACCTGCACTATTGTCTATCATCACTATTGTAAACCTGCACTGTCTATCACTATTGTGTCTATCACTATTGTAAACCTGCACTGTCTATCACTATTGTAAACCTGCACTGTCTATCACCATTGTAAACCCGCCTGCACTGTCTATCACTATTGTAAACCTGCACTAATCTATCACTATTGTAAACCTGCACTGTCTATCACTATTGTAAACCTGCACTATCACTATTGTAAACCTGCACTGTCTATCACTATTGTAAACCTGCACTGTCTATCACCATTTTAAACCTGCACTGCTCCATCACTATTGTAAACCTGCACTGTCTATCACTATTGTAAACCTACACTGTTCATCACTATTGTAAACCTGCACTGTCTATCACTGGCTGTAAACCTGCACTGTCTACTTCCACCATTGTAAACCGCACTGTCTATCACTATTGTAAGCCTACACCTGTCTATCACTATTGTAAACCTACATCATCACTATTGTAAACCTGCACTGTCTATCACTATTGTAAACCTGCACTGTCTATCACTATTGTAAACCTGCACTGTCTATCAATATTAAACCTGCACTGTCTATCACTATTGTAAACCTTCATTGTAAACTCCACACTGTCTATCATCATTGTAAACCTGGGCTACTGTCTATCACTATTGTAAACCTGCCTGTCTATCACTGTCTATCACTATTGTAAACCTGGTCTATCACTATTGTAAACTGTCTATCACTATTGTAAACCTGCACCATACTATTAAACCTACACCGTCTATCACTATTGTCTGCATCACAATTGTAAACCCACACTGTCTATCACTATCACTATTGTAAACCTGCACTGTCTATCACTATTGTAAACCTGCACTGTCTCATCACTATTAAACCCAAGACTGTCTATCACTATTGTAAGCCCTACACTGTCTATCACTATTGTAAACCTACACTGTCTATCACTATTGTAAACACTGTAAACCTACTGTCACTATTGTCTATCACTATTGTAAACCTACACTGTCTATCACCATTGTAAACCTACACTGTCTATCACTATTGTAAACCTACACTGTTCATCACTATTGTAAACCTACACTGTCTATCACTATTGTAAACCCAAGACTGGTCTATCACTATTAAACCTACACTGTTCATCACTATTGTAAACCCACACTATCAATACATAAAAACCGCACTGTCTATCACTATTGTAAACCCACACTGTTCATCACTATTGTAAACCTGCACTGTCTATCACTATGTGTCTATCACTATTGTAAACTGCCATCACTGTAAACCTGCATCACTATTGTAAACCTGCATATCACTATTGTAAACCTGTCTACCTACACTGTCTATCACTATTGTAAGCCTGCACTGTCTATCACTATTGTAAACCTGCACTGTGTTCATCACTATTGTAAACCCGTACACTGTCTATCACTATTGTAAACCCCGCACTGTTCATCACTACCTGCACCGTTCATCACCATTAAACCTGCACTGCTCCATCACTATTGTAAACCCGCATTGTCTATCACTGTAAACCTACACTGTTCATCACTATTGTAAACCTGCACTGTCTATCACTATTGTAAACCTGCACTGTCTATCCATTGTAAATCACCGTCTATTGTAAACCCACACTGTTCATCACTATTGTAAACCTACACATCACTATTGTAAACCTACACTCTATCACTATTATTGTAAACCTGCACTGTCTTGTAAACCCCTGTCTATCACTTGTCTACTCACTATTGTAAACCTGCACTGTCTATCACCATTGTAAACCTACACTGTCTATCACTATTGTAAACCCACACATCTATCACTATTATTGTAAACCTGGTACCGTTCATCACTATTGTAAACCTGCACCTCGTCTATCACTTGCTTAAAACCACACTGCCCATTACCATTGTAAACCTACACTGTCTATCACTATTGTAAACCTGCACTGTCTATCACTATTGTAAACCTGCACTGTCTATCACTATTGTAAACCCAACCTCATCACCATTAAACCTACACTGTCACTATTGTAAACCTACACTGTCTATCACTATTGTAAACCTACACTGTCTATCACTATTGTAAACCCGCACTGTCTATCACCATTGTAAACCCACACTGTTCATCATCATTGTAAACCCGCACCGTCTATCACTATTGTAAACCCGTACCGTCTATCTACTATTGTAAACCTGCACTGTCTATCACCATTGTAAACCCGCACCGTCTATCACCACATTGTAAACCCGCACTGTTCATCACTATTGGGTAAACCTACACTGTCTATCACTATTGTAAAACCACACCGTTCATCACCATTGTAAACCTGCACTGTCTATCACCATTGTAAACCTGCACTGTCTATCACTACTGTAAACCCAAGACTGTTCATCACATGTAAACCTGCACCGTCTATCACCATTGTAAACCCGCACTGTCTATCACTATTGTAAACCTGCACTGTCTATCACTATTGTAAACCCGCACTGTCTATCACTATTGTAAACCTGCACTGTCTATCACTATTGTAAACCTGCACTGTCTATCACTATTGTAAACCTGCACTGTCTATCACTATTGTAAACCTGCACTGTCTATCACTATTGTAAACCTGCACTGTCTATCACTATTGTAAACCCGCACTGTCTATCACTATTGTAAACCTGCACTGTCTATCACTATTGTAAACCTGCATTCAGATATCTAGAAGGCTCATCCCACGATCTTCAAGAGTGAATTGCTTCCCCATCTGGAGTACTGTCACCCCATCCGGTCCCCGAGATATGCTAGGGACTGTCAGTTGGTTGAAAATGTTCAAAGGAGGGCCACCAGACTGGTGCCTGCACTTCGGCACCTCAGCTATCCTGAGAGATTGGAGCGCCTGAAATTGCCTAGCTTATACTGCAGATGGGCATGGAGTGACCTAATTGAGGTGTATAAGCATCTAAAGAGGCACCACTCAGTTGAGTGTCCTTACTTGGAGCTGGCGGACGCTCGCCCCACAAGGGGTCACAGCTCAAGATTGAAGAAGCCGCAAGTCCAGAAAACTGTGAGGGCAAACTTTTTCAGAGTGAGAGTTGTGAACTCTTGGAACAATCTACCAGAAAGTGTTGTGACCTCTGGAACTCCTTTTCAGCCCTTCTACACTCATCTTTGCTTTGTTTCTGGCTCTTGCATACATCCTCCTGTCTTGCTCATCATTTGACCCAACCCATGTCTTGAATTTGTGGGTTTTCTTCTTAACTTTGTTGACCTCCACATGGTTCATGTGTAGGGATCCCCTCGTATTCCTAGAGGCACTGGGTTTGGTCTTGGGTATATATTTATCAATCAAATGGGTCACTTTACTAGTTATGATATTCAGCATACTGTCTGCGCTCTTGTGCCTTAACGAGTCAGGCCAGTGGATACCCCTCATCTCTTCCCTCATCCCGTTGTAATTTCCCTTGTATTATTTGCACCTTGGCCTAGCCTTATCTTGAATTAGGGAATAGTTAAATCTGAATGACAACACTATATGGTGACTGGTGCCAACTGGGGCAAGGTGTTCCAATTTGGCCACCATACCCTTCTCGTTTGTTATGATGAGGTCTAGTGTCTTAATTGTTTGCTCCCCTCTGTAATGTGTCGGGTCTCTAACATGTTAGAACAGAAAATTATCTCTCAGAGTTTCAACAAAAAGAGTAGCAGGGTTATTCAAGACATTTGGGGTGAACTCATTTCTCCAGTCGATGTCGCCATAGTTAAAGTCCCCCATGACAAGGAGGTGGCTAGGGTTGAGCATCGCCGCATTGTCTATTAAGGCTCTTAAGTTCCTTTGATTTAGTGGGCCACAGTTTGGGGATCTGTAGATACACCCGACAATAAGTAAGTCCCATCCCTTTAGTTAAATTTTACACCACTTGGACTCTTCAAAAACATCCTCTCCCTGTACCCTCGCCTGGCTGGCTCTAAGGTCTTGCCTAGCATAGATAACCACACCCCTCTTGCAAGTTTCTTGAGAAAGGTTCGTAAATGAGTCATATCCAGCAATACTGAACTCACATTCCTCTGGATCGATTCTCCTGTTTTTGTACAACAGTTCTACAACTCCTACAATATCTGGTTGGTGTACCTTCAGTAGTGTTTCAAACTCCTCTCTCTTATCAAGGTACGTGTCACTATTAGTGTACCGTACATTATATTCAAGCTAGAATTTGTTTTCGGTAACGTCTCTGCTCTTAGTAGTAACCCCCCCCCCCCATTCTCAGAAGCTGCAGCATTTGCTAAGTACACTGTACAGTATTTTGCAGGGTGTGGTTAGAAATGTCATTGTTTACAAGGCGCTCACCTCCTCCCGGCTAATAGGCAGAGCTGGTGCCACCTCCTGGGTAGGGGGTAGAGTGAGTGGCGGGTGCGCTGCTGTCCCCTGGCCCTGTGTCAGCACACTTGCTTCCACTACCCTCTCCCTGAATATAACCCATGCACACCCGTCCCCGTTCCTCCTCGACTCTTCCCTTCTCTGCTTCAAGCTCTGCAGGAGCTTCTTGTGCTGTTCCTTCTGCATTACCGTGCGATCTGGGTGAATGAATACACTCCGAAATGTCTCGCTCCTTGGTAAGTTTATTGCCTGCCGAATAACCTCCCATTTCTCCTCCTCACTCACTAGTGTGATCTTGATGGGGCGAGGTTTGTTCGCCTGCTTTTGTCCCAGCCTCCTCACATCCTGAGGGGTTGATGGCATCTTCAGAACCTCTGTACAAATATTCTTAAACTGAATCTTAGCGTGTGTTATCTTACTCTTAGATCCCTCTGCCTGGCTCTCAGGGACTCCAAAAACTATTATATTGTTCTTGCGCTGGAAACGTTCCCATTAATTTTAATTTCTTCGACACACTTCTTCAGAGTCCCTAGCCGCTGTAGAACCTGTTCTGATCCTGCATTACTCTCCGCCACCTCCCATGGCCCTGCTTATACCTCAGCATAACTCCTCTTAGCAACCACCTCCATTCTGTCGGCTACTTCCTCAGTCTTAGCAAGGATCTCTTTCCCAACTTGTTCTAGTTTGGCAACCAGCAAGACTCCAGCTTCATCTATTTTCGTCCCTAGGGAACTCGTTCCCCTATGGCTTGCAATCGCCTCATTCACCTTGACTACGCAGTCAGGGCAATACCAGCAACAGCCTTCATGCTTTACGGCAGTTTGCATCATGCTAAACGTTGTATTAGTCAGGCCTGTATCCTCCATATACATGTGCACATAGCTATTTATATATGTATTTTGCACACTCCTGGAACTGGCATGAAAAACTCGTGGATTTTGCTTCCTCATGGGGTCCATTTTACTTAACCCCAACGAGCTTTAAGGGATTACTGTACATGTGTACACAACCTATTAGACACCCTAAACATGTGTGCACAGCCTATGAGACACCCTAAACATGCATGCACAACCTATGAGACAACCTGTACATGTGTCCAAAGCCTATGAGACACACTGTACACCACAAAGCAGACCTGTGGGGGTAGCAGATCCATGGTCTTCTGATACACTGTGCTTAAGGGTTTTCTCAGTGTCTAGAAAGAATCGCTCTCTTCTTTTCCGCTTGTATGGTCGATGGAGGCGGACTGAGCCAGCCTGAAATTAAAGCAAAACTTATATGTAATTTAAAATTTAAATTCACTCCTGCTTTACATACACCAACCTGACCTAACTTAATTTGATATAATCTAGCCTAGCCTAACTTAACGTAACATAACTATTCCCAATGTAACCTAACTGGCGTACACTGTTATCTTTTGTTTTAGAGGAGTTCAGAGTCAAATGACATAATCTAATCACAGTCATTTTTTTTACAAGGGATAGGTTAAACGTCCCAGTGATGCATAGAAGTCACAAAAGTTTATAAAGATTTAGAGTAAAATAGTAGAAATTGGATCCATTATATTCCATTCATGTTGTAAAAGTCAAATATAATGATGGAGTGAGGCTAGTAGCTTTATAACCAATACAAACTGTCTGTAGTAAAGGTGGTAAAAGCTTAAGACAGAGGCAGTGTTAAGGCTTTAAATTAAATCACTAATAGATCATCATTTAACAGAGAATGGAGGAATTGTTAAGTGAGAATACTTATACACTTACTGCAGCATCATCATCCAGACAAGCACCACAGGAGCATGAAGTAGCATGGACCTGGAGGTAACCATCTTCTATTAGGGTTAGTAAACTCTGACCCTGGAATCTGCAAAGGAAAAGGACAATTTTAATTTATCATTTCCACCCCTTATCAGCTTACTAGCCACTTGAGCAGTTGGTGTGTTCATTGTTATGGCCTTCTTTGTCCAGTGTTAATTGAGGATACAGGAATATCCAGAGAAAGACTCTGATGTTTGGTAAGGTCACAGTAAATAACTTTCTTCTCACATCTGACCCAAGCTGGGGACTAAACTCAGGACTCAATTATGAGTCACATACTTAATTCTCCTTGCCACTGATTGCCTTGATTACCACTTGGGTGGTTGGTCATATCGCTGTTACACACTGTTGATAAGTACTGGTTCCAGAATGCATTTGTACCTGCACCAGTGTTGGTCAAGTCTGGTCTTGAATAAACTAACACTTGGCACCACTACAATGCTTTCCAGTGGATTGTCCCATGAGTTCACAACTTTCACTTGGGAAAATTTTGTCCTGACAATTTTCTGAACTTGTAGCTTCTTCAACCTTAAGCTATGACCTCTAGTGGGGTGGGAGTCTTCCAGCTCCAACTATGAACACTCAATTGAGTAATATCGATGTGTTTATAGACTTCTACTAAGTCACCCCCTTCCCAGCCTAAAGTATAAACTAGGTAATTGCAGGTATTCTAATATCTATGGGTACCTGAGGTGCCATAATGCAGGCACCAGTCTGGTGGCCCTCCCTGTTTTATCCTCCTTTCCTCTAGGCTTATTTAACATACCAATCTTTAATTACCTTCTACCACCACGTCATCTAGTAAAGGTCCCTGTGATTATATCAAATAAATACTGTCACATGACATTGGTTGTCATGTAGGCGTTGGAATTACTGACCAGCATGTCAATCAACTGTGTGCAAGATCGTTTTATGTGGGCTCTCCTCATGAGGAATCCTCATGGTAAGGTTTGCCCAAGCCATGGGCGTATGTCGCTTTCCAGGTGGTATAAATCGTGGTATTTGCATGGGACTTGCTCCAGGTCTGCCAACATAGAAAAAAGGGAATGTTGGTATGCTGTACGCAAACAGCTAATCACAATAACAAACATTTCACGAAGATGATGGAGGCAAAAGGGACGAAGATGTAATATACAGTGCCACTCTCCGAGCGCCAGAGACAGACACTTGTCGCCTACTGTGTAAAACAAGAAGTAGCTGTAAATCCTTTTTAACAGGCTTCTTTATTCAGTACCTAATGGGGCCTCAAAAAAAATATTAATTCAATGTAGTACTGTACTGTTGGTTGTGGGTAATAAAAATCAAATAAAGATATACTCAATCAATAGAATTAACAAATGTATCTTCTATATTAATGGCAAGTGATTTCACACATGCATGTGTTAGATTAGAATAGGCCTAAAGACATCAACAAAACTGAAGGGTTATTTCTATATAGAGACCTTCTATATATTCACACTACATTAATGAATATACAAAATGCCTGAGATAAACATACCTTGAGGCTTGAATGAGATTTACCGTGGTATTATCTGCAGATGGGTTTCAAATTTAGTGGTCTGATTTTGGGTAAACAAACATAAAGTATCAAATTTTGGGAGGTAGAGTATGAATGTTTAAATGTCATATCCATCCTTGTCCATCAGCAAAATTCATCATACAGGTATATGTAGGATGATTATTATTTTTTTACCATACTAGAAGCATTGCAACCTTGTAATTGCAATTACGCCTTCTCACGATAATTCCAGTAAAATCCATGAGCATTGAACACGCCTTGAGGGTTCACTATGCTTCTTGAAAGGAAAACGTGAGCAATCCCCATAGGGAGATCTCTAGCTAAATGGTCTTGCATACAGCCAAATGACCAGTGTCAGCATAAAAACATATTGTTACAGGTCAATCAGGTCAGAGTCCCCACCTCAGGTAGTGCCAGGAAGGGTAAACTTCAGGTGAGGCCAGGTCTAATGTGCATTGGTTATATGATCTTAATCTGATCTTACATGACCTGAGACCCACATGAGGGTTTTGAAACTTTGTGTCACCATATTGTTGTACGTACAGTACTGTATATCCAATGTAATCAGTGTTGTGTATTGTGCAGCATTGTGTAATTTTTTTATCTAGTGTATTTTGCACTTCTACATAAATTTTTTACTAAGTGACTTACTAATGAAGATGTAAAAAAGAAGCATTAACTGTACTGTACATGCAGTATAGTATTCCCACCGGAGTCTATGAGTCTCCTGACCTTGAGAAACATTAATATTTTTTGTGTACTTTTTCCTAATGAGTCAGCTCTGCCTTTTAACCTAGTGCAATTTTTTCCCATACCATTTTTTCTGAGTACTGACGGCATATACTGTACTGTACTTGAACCACCTAGCCCCAGGTTCATCTACAGATGGGACCTTGGAAACAATACTCAATTACACAATGAAATAAATGAGGTACAGTAATTTATGTACTGTACTGTATTCCAAAACATCCATACATTACCTAATGCTTCGCTTCCAATCCTTGCTGGCAGACCTTCCACAGTGGGCTTCAAACTCTGTAGGTGTGTACCACTGCTTCCCCAGTCTTATACACCTTCCTCGGGACCCTGACCCAAATTTGCTCTTCACTAACTCTGCTGCAGTTTTCTGAAACATGACAGAACGAGATAATAGAGGCCACAAGTTTTCTTTAGACCTGTAATAGGTAGACACTCAAATTGAGACTCAAAAAGAACATGAGGTGACCCAAATCAGCATAGATTCAAGTCATAATTTCAATCACTGGTTCTAGTACCATCAATTAGTTATCAGATAAATTATAGTACAGTAGTATAAATAAGTCCAATAATCTGACTTAATCTAAAACATAACATATCCAGTACAGTAATCTCAGTACAGTATGTATTAAGACTGAAAAGCTGCATACTGTACTGTACTGTACTTTAAGTATACACCAAGTTGAACAAATGAAGAGGTTTATTCCTGGCACACATAGAGGTATTGACACACCACCATTACGGAGAAATACTATCCAATGATGTACATTCTGAATGATTTAGGATGTAACTAACTGTATTAATAACACAATACTGTACTGAATATGATACCAACAAAGATTTAAAATGAAGTAAACGTGATATGAAAATAATTATATGGATGACACTATTGAGGATAGAGTAGAACAGAACAAATTTACAAAAAACTTTAGCAGCCAGAACAGAATTAAACTCCAAGAATCTGTAAGACAGAGACCAGTAGACTATAATGGATTTTCCACCAATGGACACCACAGTGCTACATTATAAAAGCAAATAAAAATTCTGAAGCCTTCTGTATACAAACTGCACCTTATAACGAAGAAAAAAAAACATAACAAGCAAGTGATAACATAATGTATTTAAGAATATGAATTTAATGTAAGAGAAAGTCCATCTGTTGTAACCATTCAGTGAAATCTATTGAAATGAAAACAAGAGTTGATGAGCAGTCAAAAGTTTTTAAGTTTCTTTTTCACAATGATAATAATAATAATAATAATAATAATAATAATAATAATAATAATAATAATAATAACAAAGCAACATGCCTAACGGTAAAACTGTTACTGTCACAGATGGGTAGTTTCATTGACATAACTTATTACAACACTGCATCTCAACATAGTGTCTGTACATACTAACCTTACACCTCACTATGAGGACAGGTTCTTGTGCTGCCTCTCTCCAATCAGGTTCTATGTGAAAGGTTGCCGTTGCTTTGGTTTCCCCAAGTGATGATGAGGTGGCAGGTGTTATATGATGTGTGGAGGTCGTGGTGCAGTTTTCCTATAGTACAAAAAAGTAGAAAAATAAACGACAGATATCATATAACACAAAATATCAATTGAAATCTAAACCCAGGATGCCACAGTTAGCTGTCCATTGCATTGATAGCAGTAACACCCCTGTATATTAGGGTTCAGTGATGGATCAGTGTACCCTGGGATGAGAGTTCTTCAATGGAATAAGGGATCTCATGAACATTAAGAACCCTCCACTTGATGATTTCACGACAAAACAGATCAGCGTTTTTACAGATATTCATGGCCAAGTACGGAAACATTTAGCAGCGTCATGCGCTGAAATGATTTTTAAGCAACATAAACAGGCTAAGCCTGTCATGTTAGAAATAGGCGATGCTGTTATGGTGAGAGAACCTGAAAGGAACTCTAAGCCTTCAGCCAAATTTTCTGGTCCATTCCACATTATTGCCAAAGAAGCGGGCAACAAGTTTAAAATTTGGAAGCCTAATGCACAGACCGCAGATGTAGTGCATGCGGATTGTCTTAAAAAGGGCCATAAGGATTTACTACCCAAGGATGGTAATGATGTCAGAGACACATCTTTTCAGACGAATGTTAATGATGTCATAGACACATCTTTTCAAACAGTACACAAGCAGAGTGTGCCTAATGAGTATCGTTTGAAACTTCGTTCTGCAAACAAATATTAAAATGCATTAAAACTCTTACAGAATGGCTTGGATCATCAGTGTGCTGCTCCTACTGCTTTGTAGCACCGTTGTGTTGACAAATATGTTCACAGATGTCCTTAAGCCAGGTGCGCGTGTTGCACCCCTTGGACGCGTTCTCAGTGTTGAGGACGTAGTGAACATAAAATATGAGTTGCATGGACTGCTCAAGTTTCCGCGCCAGATGGAAACCATTGATGCTCAACTGCAGACAGCTTTGACTGTCCTTGATGATCTCCGTACGACTCCAAACATTTCGACGATGGTTTCACAAACTGTTGAGCTTCAGCTGCTTCGCCTCAGAACCCTTCACAAGATTCTCATCGCTGTTGGAAACATTATTCCAGCTTCTTAGAATGATCTTAGGTGATGAGAGAACAGAGGATACTGAGAAATAAAGCCTGATGGGCGGTTATCACACACCCTAACACATTACTATTTCACTTATACATCAGGCAAAGCTTTAACTGTAATAACTGCTATATAAGTCTCTTCTTTTTAGGGCTGAATACAGCCCGATGAAGTTCACTGACCTTAGGTGATGAGAGAATGGAGGATACTGAGGGCAGTGCCCCGTCGCTATCACCGCGTAGGCCTACAGTTTCCAATCTTTAATTTGTAATTTTATTTCTTACGGTTCTCACCTGAACACTTTCCTCTTTCCTGTATATTGTAACCTCATGTCTTATAAACACATATTTTAATCCTAAATTACACACTAAGGTAAGGTTCTGGTTTGCTAGTTCGTAGATAAAATCATTGGGTTATCATATCAAAGCGGCACACTCGAGGCGGGCACAAAGGACGCGACCTTGAAACAAAAGCCGAATGTTCATGGCGTTGGTATATCCACTTCACTTAAAACTGTAATTAGGGATCCTCCTCACACTCATTGCACTATTTGAACACAGACATAAGATTCTCTGATCACTGTACATATTGTGGGTATATGTCACCCGAGGAGACGAGGTGTATTAAGTTCACACCGATGCATACAAGATATTTCCTTTCACGTATAGTTTCTGGGTCACTCCCAACACCTCACATAGTTCTGATACATTTATCCTTTTTCCAGATCATTACACTAGTCCGGCTCAACTGGACTTCCCCAATCATCTTATGGAAACCTTGAGTTCTCCTTAATGCTATGAATACATACAATTAATATTATATAACTGTACCTGGGTACAATACAACAGTAACATTGAGTAGGTGAGTTATCCTTTATCAATGTTTCCCGTTCTCTGAGATTCTACAAGCGCGGTGGATTTGAATGTTATGTAGCGTAATATGAATTAAAGGGGGTTTTTAGGAATGACAATGATGTGCGCAGTACACTCGGCCCTAGGGCCAACCATCCTCGTTATGCCGAGGCATAATTTGGTATGTACAGCTCCTCCCCGACTTACAACGGGGTTAGGGACCGACATCCAGGTCGTAAGTCGAAATGGTCGTAAGTCGGAAATGCTTACATAATACATAGAAAATAAAATATGGGTGTCTCTTTTTCTTCTCAGCACCACAAAACACTCACTTTTAAGCTTGCCGGCCATTTTAAAGTGAATTACAAATGAAAATTTTGTCTGTGTACTGACTTTGGGACTCGAAAATACGTAATTTGACCAAATTTTGGTACGACTGAGGCAGGTCGTAAGTGCGGGTGGTCGTAAGTCGAGTAGGTCGTAAGTCGGGGAGGAGATGTATTATAATTTTTGATGTTTGTGAACTTGGTGTTTTGATTGTTTTCTATCCCAAGCAGCAGTTATTTTGGAAAGTTTAGGGAGATTTTCTTTGATATATTGATGTATTACTTATGTAAGAATTTTCTAGAATGTATTGCATCATGTTTGTTATGATTTACTTACGTAATGTAAGCTTAGATCACTCTAGAACTCCCCAGGCATGTCTCGGTCTGACCTTCAATGTCTGGATATCTCTAGAATGCTCTAGGAATCTGACGAAATGTAATAAATACCTGCTAGTGGCCTATAAATGAGTCAACTGTTTCTGCTCACAGTGTGAAGTATACAAGCCTAGTAGTGACAACTGAAGAAAATTATTGTGCAAGTATTGTGGAATTGTTGTGAGCAATATAAAGTGAAAAGACTAAGGAATTGTTTACTGGAAGTGTGCTGACTGTATACATATTCAAAGTGTGAAGCCGTTGTGAAGACAGACCCTGTGAACAGTGTTGTGAAGAATTAGTGATTATTAAAGAAGAATAAAGTGTGTTTCTGTGACTAGGTGGAAATCTACCTGCCCGTTGTTTTATCTTTACACTGATACTGATTATCAGGAAATTAATGGAGATTGGCGAGACAGCCAGTGGTAATTCGACAACACTTGTGATATATCTACTGCTTCTGTGTATACGACCTGGCTGCTGGTAACCAGTGGTGGAAGCTGGGAAGCGGTGAAAGGGATTTGTAACACTGGTGTCAGGAGTGGGATAGCATAGCAGTGAGATATTAGTCAAGATGGAAGGAGACTGTGTCCAGACCCCGAAGCTAGGTCAGGTAAGGGGAGATTTTCATGGCTGATCTGACACAATTCTTACAATCACAATGAGAAGAACAGAAACAATTACTGCAAGAACAATGAGAACACAAGGAGAAACAAAAATGGTTGCAAGAACAGCTACAATCAAAACAAGAACAGAAAAAACAGTAGGATGTTCTTTGGCTGAAGGATGGTCTGCTACAGTGGCAGTGGGTGACTTAAGATGGCCTCAACAGGTCCTGGCAGACAGTACTTCCCCAGAAGATGAGGTCAGAGATCCTGGGAGAGATGCACAACGATCCAACCAGTGGACAAAGGGGAGTGAAGAAGATCCTGAGTCGCCTGTGGCAAAGGTTTTACTGGGATGGCATGCGCAAGGATGTGGAAGAATGGTGCCGTTCATGCGATGTCTGAAGCACCAATATGTGACCAAGCTACACATGCATGCCCCAATGCAGTTGTACTATACATGTGCACCAGTGGAGGCAGGTAGCAGTGGATATTGCGGCACCTCTGCCATTCATTACAGATGGGAACAGGTACATCTGTGTGGCCATGGATTACTTCACTAAGTGGCCAGAAGCATATGCCATCCCAAATGAGGAAGCCACTACCATTGCCAGGGTGCTGGTTGACCAGTTCTTCTGCTTGTTTGGTGTAGTCCACGAGTTGCACTCGGACCAGGGCAAAAACTTTGAGTCATCTGTGCTCAGTGAGTGCTGTAAACTGTTAGGCATGAGAAAGACTAGGACCACTCCACTTCGGTCTTCAGCCACAGTCAGTAGGTAGCAGGCAGCTACCAAACAGGGAGGTACTACCGCCTGGAAGATACTGGAAGCATAAGGTGTTGTCTAATGGTAGACCCTGCTGCCATATGGCATCATAAAAATTGTGACCAAGTCCCAGGTTGCTGATCTGACTTTCTGCCTCATTTACACAATTGCAGGGTCTCAATTGTTTCTCTTACTATTGACAACACAACATACATATATCTTTTCTCACCATAATTTTGTTTTTCTTTTAGTTTTGTATTTATTTGTGGTCCTTTATTATTATTATTATTATTATTATTATTATTATTATTGTAGGGGTATCGAAATATTAATGTTGTCTAGCACTCAGGATGGAAGGAAACTCTAATGTGGTTTTCTTGTATATAAGTTATATGAAAGACAGTCTGGTGCTGGAGGTGCCGTGTGGTGGGGCTGCTCAGTAGAAGACGTTCGGTGAGTAGCGTGTTGAAGGAGGTAGATGTGCAGGAGCTTCGTTAGGGAAGATGTTGCCTGTTGCTGGCCTCCTGGTTGAATGAAATGTTAACAGCGTGGAGCTTGCTGGAGGAGGTGTTGCTTGTTCAGGAAAATGGGCAGAATCAATCTCAATGGAGAGACAGAGCTTATATACCCAGCAGCAGCCGCCAGTCCTCTATGAATCATGTTGGGAAAAACCGAGAAGTAGCCGGTGACTAGTTCCGTTGCTAAGATACGGTAACATCTGGGGACAGCTCTCGCTTGGTTGCTAGGCAACGGTACGTTGGAATGTGATAGCAGGTGGTGGCTGCTACGCAGTTTGTAGGGGAGACGTCCACTACATTATTATTATTATTATTATTATTATTATTATTATTATATTGAATATTTATTTCGCATTTTAATAATAATAATAATAATAATAATAATAATAAATAAATAAATAAATAAAAAATTCAATGGGTAGTGATAAACGATGAATGTGTGTTGTCAAACTAAGAGAAACAATTTAAACCCCACAATTGTGTAAACGAAACAGAAGTCAGATCAGCAACCTGAAAGAGTAACTATTCAAGCTTTGTTTTTCACCTTTGCAAATGCAAAAAATTGCATTTAAATATTTTATGCCGTTTGCACAAATATATGTTTGAAATCAGAACGGGACTTAACGAACACCTTGTATTATATGTAATAAATAGTTTTGAAGTTCAATCAAAACTTTTCAACAATTCCTCCATTTTTTTTCGGGGAATTGCTCACCCAGGCACAGGTCATCGACCATGGGGGCGGAAAAATTAGAGTAAAAATAAATTAAAAATAGAAGAGAAAAGGATTTTATTAATGTACACCACAAAGATGCAGGAAAACCAGCTTTTTGAAACGAGACATTGTATGGGTATGGAAACACAGAAGGCAGAGCATTCCACAGTGGCTGTGTGAGGAAGAAGGATGTTGATAGATATTGGGTATTGTATGAGGAAACCGCTACCACCAGAAAATAATTACAAATTCGTTTATTTGTTCACAGTATATTCTTATTATTACAGTAAAGTATTTAAAAATAGTATAATAAAAATATTTTATTTTGTAGCAGTTCTCAGAAATTTATAGTTTTCGAGTTATTTTAACTTTTATGAGGCAACTACTATATGTTGGTGGTTCAAAGTGGGCTATACTTACTCTTGTACAGGTGATAATATTAGCCTCAGGTGACAAGGTGACATCATTAGCGTGGATGGTGACGTCTGGGGTTGCAGTGATGACGTCATTGAGGGGGTTGTTAATGACGTCACTGAGGTGGGTAGTAGAGGTGACGATTTTGACGAGTGGGACCGAATGTGGCCGAGTTAACCCGACGGCTTCAAGGTCCGACACAGCCACAAGCTCCCTCGACCCTCCACTTGGTGACTCCCCTAAACCCCCATTCATGTTTCAGCACACGACTGCACTTTGTAAACTCGCCGCACAAGGCCATCCGCGAGCTATTCACCGGAAAATATCTCCACAAGACGGTGTGAAGTGTACAAAAACATGGCCATCGAAAACTGCTACGAAATTGTCGTTCCAACAATAAAATTCACTTTGTTTATTTGTCAAGGAATCCAAAATATATGACAATTTAATTCATATGAATATTTTTTCGTAACTTCTAAATATTCTTAAGCGATATTTTAAGTAAGCTGTTGATATATAGTAATTTTAATGGATTTTAGAACACTTCTTTATGTTGACATAATAACCGTTTTCTGTAATTATAGTTATATTTAACGGTAACCAAAGGAAATTTATTAACACTGGCTTTAAGAATACACTGTATGAAATTTTCCAGTTGAATTGATAATGTTCTTGTTTGTAAAGGACATATATGTATATTATTTCGTAAATACAACACTTGGTTGCTACATCCAAGCTTTACTTGACCCATTTCACTAAGTATCTGAAATAACACAAAAGCAAATGTAAAAATTCAAAGAGAAAACAACAATGAACATAATATAACATGGTGGTTTTATCCTAATAATGAAATAAACTAAAAGGATACTTACAAACAAGAACAAAATAATATTACAGTAGTTTCCATAATGATATTTTAAAAGTATCACATTCTTTCCTCCTAGAAAATATACAATATAATAGTACGTAAATACGGCAGATAACTCAAATACACACTTCTCATCAAGATACTAATTTACATGATTTTAATCCAAGCAATAACGATTGGATGGCTTTGGTACTCGAGTAGACTTTCTGGGTCTCACCGGAAAGGGGGAACATCTTCACTGGGTATTTCACACGGTAAGTCACAACCTTGAATACTAGGTCTAGTCGGGGAATCCATCACTCGTCTCATTGTCAGGGACTCGAGAGGGCTGATTCTTGTAATTAGATTCGACATCATGCTGCTTCAGAGGGGTTGTCAGTCTCGTTGGACACGGGGCCAAATCACGGACAAATACTGTCTAATTGGCGTTCATCTAGATACCTAATGCTAGCATAGGTTGGGTTCACATCAACGAGCTCAACTTTGTCTACTAGAGGTTCATTTTCGCTAGACCGGACAAAACGTCGAAGCAGCACTGGTCCAGGGGACATAAGCCATAATGTTAGTGAACTACCGTGAGTTGAGCGTCGTTGAAATAAAAAAAAACACTCATGTGGGGTTGTATTAGTTGAAGTAGATAAAAATGATCTAATTGAGTGTAGTGCATCTGAAAGCATCAATTCCCAGTGTGCGATACACTGTTGACCAGAGTTCTGAGTTTGTCAGGAGCATTTTCTCCACACTCCTCAATGAAGGTTCTTGGAGTCCCAGAGAGCCAGGCGGAGTTAACTGTGAGTAAGCTAACACACTTTTATCCTCTTCGCCACTGATCGGCTTGTTAGCCGCTTGGGCGATCGGTCACGTACTGGGCATGCACCGGCTCCTGAATGTACCTGAACCCGCTCCAGTGTTGGTCAAGTCTTGTCTTGAAAGAGCTCACACTCGGTGCCGTCACAACACTCTCTGGTAGATTGTTCCAAGAGATTACAACCCTCACTCCGAAAAAGTTTGCCCTCACAGTTTTCTGGACTTGCTGCTTCTTCAATCTTGAGCTGTGACCCCTTGCTAAGTTTTTTGCGTGCCGAATAACCTGCCATTTCTCTTCCCCGGTCCTGAGGGGGCGAGGCTTATCCCCTGCTTTTGTCCCAGCCTCCTCACATCCTGAGGGGTTGATGGAATCTTCAGAACCTCTGTACAAATATTTTGAAACAGAATCTTATCGGCAAATAAATTGTTGGGTCTTATAAGAAGGTCGTTCAGATATCTAGACGGTTCGTCCCTCGTAACGATCTTCAGGAGTGAAGTGCTTCCCCATCTAGAGTACTGTCACCCCATCTGGTCCCCTAGATATGCTAGGGACCGTCAGTTAGTTGAAAATGTTCAAAGGAGGGCCACCAGACTGTTGCCTGCACTTCGGCACCTCAGCTACCCTGAGAGATTGGAGCGCCTGAACTTGCCTAGCTTATACTACAGACGGGCAAGGGGGGACCTAGTTGAGGTGTATAAGCATCTCAGGGGGCACTACTCAGTCGAGTGTCCTTACTTGGAGCTGGCGGACGCTCGCCCCACAAGGGGTCACAGCTCAAGATTGAAGAAGCCGCAAGTCCAGAAAACCGCGAGGGCAAATTTTTTTGGAGTGAGGGTTGTAAACTCTTGGAACAATCTACCAGAAAGTGTTATGACGGCACCGAGTGTGAGCTCTTTCAAGACAAAACTTGACCAACACTGGAGCGGGTTCAGGTGCATTCAGGAGCCGGTGCATGCCCAGTATTTGCCAACAGTGCGTGAGAGACGTGACCGATCGCCCGGGTGGCTAGCGAGCCGATCTTTTGGTGAAGAAGATAAATGAAAAGGAAAAGTAATCAGAGACGTGACCGATCGCCCAAGCGGCTAACAAGCCGATCAGTGGCGAAGAGGATAAAAGTAAAAATAAGTAAAAGTAAGTGGTCCAGTCTTGTCTGAGTGTAATTAATTAATATCTTGTTCACTCCATATGTTAATAAATATGGGATAAGTAAACTACAAGTATCACCGCTCTATTCCTTCTACCCGTTGGTTCTCAGAAAATAACTATTGTAACTCACGTGCCAAGAAGCTCGCTAGCACGCTACCTAACAGTTCAATGAGATATGTTATATTCTAATAAAAGTTTGGGTGGTGGCAGGCTACCGTGGTAAGTATAATAAGTGTTATAATAAGAATGCCATGGTTTCCCAGACTAATCCATGGTTTAGAATATAACTACAACAGGATATAATTGAGAGAAAGTAAGGACATAAAATTCAGAGAAATATAATAATATATGAAAGAAAAATGAAGTAAAGAAAAGAATATTGACTTAGAAAATATAAGCAAAGAAATATAAGATAGTTACTTATAGAGAGAGAGACTGAGAGTAGAAGAATATAAGTATATAAGTATAGAAAGAAGAATAAAGAGAATAAATCTGAAGTAAGGAAATGGACCCTTACACCAGGTGCATCCTCTTACACTTCGTGACTTTGAATCTCAGCAGCCACTTCTTCGACAATTCTTGGATCTCACAGAGATCCTTCTGCAGCTCTTCACAGTCCGCTTGGTTCTCGATTCCCGAAATAACTTGGCGTCATCGGCAAACATTTATATGGAGGAGTGTACAACGTCAGGCATGTCATTTATGAAACAAACAAACAACAGCGGGCCCAATACACTGCCCTGTGGTACCCTGCTTGTGACAGGTACAGATGATGATTTCGTGCTCTAAGCTAATGCAAAGCAAGGGTTACGGGTTTTGTGGGCTTGGAGCGTAATATAAATTATTAGGTTTTTAACAGACCATCTATGTCACTGTGACCATGACACAGTCACCCTGATTGGTCTCCGAGATATATTAGAGACTGTCAAATGATTGAAAATGTCCAAAGGAGGGCCACCAGACTGGTGTCTGCTCTGCGGATCCTTAGCTACCCAGAGAGATTAGAACGCCTACAGATGCCTATCTTATGCTACATACGGGCAAAGAGCGACCTATTTGAAGTATATCAACATCTCAGGGGGCATTACTCGGTCGAATGTTCATACCTAGAGCTGGCGGACGCCCGCCCGACAAGGTGTCACAGGTCAAGGAAGCCACAAGTCCAGAAAACAGTGGGGGCAAACTTTTTTGGAGTGAGAATTTTAAACGTTTGGAGCAATCTGCCAGAGAGTTTTGTGACGGCACTGAGTGAAGGCCGGACTTGATCAACACTCAGTGGTTCCATTTAAGTGTAAAATACACTAAACTAGGGTCATCAAACCCATTTTAGGGTAATGTCTAGGTTAATGAATTTCTCCTCTATTTACTTAACAATTATACACAATAACCCCCCCCCCCAAAAAAGTGATTGGTAGAATATAATTAAGCTACCCCTTATGTGATCCTGACTCCTAGTCACTGTTACAGAAAACGGTAAACAACGTGTGGTGCACCCGTGACTCCCGTAAGCTGTGACATCAACCAAGGAAAATTTTCAGTGTGTGAGTTGGCTTGGCTGTGTGGGAGGCTGGGATCCCTGCTTTGATTAGAACCAAAGAAGATACTGGCTTTGCTAACGCTACCAAAGGCCTGGAAGCTGATACTGAATATCAGAAAAATTATATACCTTGCAGACTACCGAATGATAGAGGAAAGTTACTCAAGCGAGCATAGAAGTAAGTGGCAGAGATTTTTTTTCTGGCTGATTGCTGTATATGCTGTATGTACTGTCTCCTCTTAGCCACTGATCGGCGGTCGGTCACTTCTCGGGTGGTAAAGTTAAGAACACGAATTCCAGCAGAACATTAATTAGGTATTGGCAACTTCTAAATATGGTATTATTTTAGGTTAATTTAGTATAGTAGCCAGGTTTCAAATTCCGTTATTTTATTGTTTGCAACCACATTACCTAACAAAAATAAGGTAAAGGTGTAGAAGAGGGTGACCAGCAGAAGTTGTTTATTGATTAGGTCAATTTATAGTATCACACCGGTCCTTATTTAGATATTAAAAATAAGTTTTTCCTATGTATTTTGATGAGTTTTGAACGAATTTGATGTTCATTTCCACCGGATATCTCGTGTTTTTTTTAGATAACCCCTCTCCCACCCAACAATCATAACGGAAAAAGTTGGATTTCTTTTTTAGAATAAATAAATTATATTACCAACCAACCAAGGGAACCTAACCTAACCCGTTGTTCATGCCCCAGACGCTTAGAGATTTTTTTTTTGCACCCCCCCCTGCAACCTTGTGTAAGGTGAAGCGCAGAAGCATTTACAGCGCCCAACAGGGAAGCATGCTAAGTTCATGCTTGCCTTTATGTCTCATGAGTTAAGGGTGTAGAAGCCTGAAGAGTCAATGGTTTATGTCTAAGCAAGTTATTGGAAGGTCCAACAACTTGTCCCTGAATATGAATTCGCAACTTTCGATTTACAGCAGGTACCTACATTGCTGCTAGGTGAACAGGGCCCAAGGGAGGCTGGGAAATGTGTCCGAACAACTTTCCACACTAACCTAACCTAATCTAATCTCAGTGCCGGATTAACCATGAGGTACTTGAGGCACTGGCCTCAGGCCCCCCGACTCTAAGGGGCCCCCAAATCCAAACATTCTCGAAGTTGAAACGTATAAAACACGAACTTCATCCAACCATGTCCTAGTAACGTCTCAATTTTCTGTCTCTTATGAACATTAAATGTGTTATTTTGCAGGAGCTTAATATTGATGAAATCATTGATAAATTTGGGTATATTTTGTTCTTGTTATTTATATATATCTTGAGGGTAGGGGGCCCCAAGTTGATCTGTGCCTCAGGCCCCTATTAAGCTTAATCCGGCCTTGCCTATGATCTGACCTAACCTAACTCTCACCATATGATGGAATCACCTATTCTTAATTGGCCTGGTTCTGGTTCGTCATTCGATTCTGAGATTAGTACAGGTGAAAATGGCACTTTTCTTAAAATGTTCCTTTGTAATCACTGACGGTGTACGAACATCAACGTCTCTTCTTTGTCTTTATAATAAGGAACTAGTTACCACTATGCCACATATGTCGGTCTTGACAATATTTACATTCGTTCTTACACTTAGGACACTTTACTGAGGTCGGGAGAACACCATGAGATCTAAAAAATAATATTGCTTGTTTGTTTTTTTTTCCCCAAAATACGCAATCAACTCCATATAATTGAAGTGACACCCATCGCAGACTTCCATGGTCGGAAATGAATTTGAATTTAAAAATATGAGACCCAAAATAAAAGTCGAATCTGATTGGCCCAAAAATACCACGAATTGAACCACAAATCATATTAATTGGTGGGAAAAAAACCGTGTTTGATTGGCCGCGTAATGTGTACGGTAATGCATGCGCATGGCGATTTATGAAGGAAACACGTAGAGTGGGAGGTGAGGTAGGTGATAATGGCAGAAGATTAATGGAAGAAAATAGAGAAATATCTGGCTTGCGCTATCTCTGTTATTATAAGTTTGCGACGGTAATGTAATAGAAGAAAACTATCTTAAAATTAAACGTCTTATTCAAATATGATAATAGATTTGGGGTAGGAAAGTTGTGTGCACTAATGTAAAAGTACCGTTCTATGCGTTGTTGTGTCCATTTTTGTGTTTAATGTCATGATATTAGTGTGTAGAAAATATTTTAACCAATTCGGACAATTTCTTCTGGTGGTCACCCTCATCTACACCTTTACCAAAAATAAGACAAATTTCTTCTATGGCACTTCTTGTGCTGACGAGAAATGACGGAGATATAGGGAGTTAAAAAACCACGACATCTTCTTGAAGAGCTTAGTTCTCGGTAATAGGTAAGCCAAACGTGTCACATTCTGACATCGACGTAAGCCTCTAAGGTAAGACCATGATCAACACTGAAGGGGATTCGAGGTTAGGTTAGGTTAGGTAAGCACCAGAAACAAAGGTCAGATTCTTTAGAATCACAACAAGAACCATAGGAAAAAAGTATTATGGAAAAATCGAAACCTGGCTACTATTATAAATTGACCTTATTTTAGTGTCTGTCATCTGGGGAATTTTAGGAATTTAAACCCCACCAGAAAGGGTTGGCCCCGGTTAGGTTAGATATAGTTCCTGGATTCTGTCATTGATGTTTCCAGGGATATATACAGTTGGTTCACATTGAGCCGTCCCAGCATTCCGCTGCTTACCGTTAACGCTGCCCGCCAGAACCTAACATTCTCACATTCCGCTGTCGCTAACGCCATTACGCTGGAGAGTGTCCGGCGCACGCTATTTTTTATTTCCCCACGCCACCCGCCTGCCCG